AAATTGTGTTCCGAAGACGAACGAAGCTTTTACGGGTTTGGAACGACATGGGGGTAAGTGATTAACAACAACATTTTCATTTTGGGGTGGAGTAACCCTTTAAAATAAAGTGTTACCCAAAACGGTAAAACCACAATCACATTACCATTTAATTTTGATTTAAGGATCTACTTAGACATTACAAAACATAGGTTTTTTATTTTGGTAATTTTTAAAACCCTTTTAAAAGAGTGACAATTTGCATATTGCAATACATTATCAATCACAAAGTCTTCAAAAAGGCGATGACATGTCATTGAATATTGCCAGGAAATAAGCCTTTCACATTTACATTGATGCAAATTAGTGTTGGGAGATACGCTCCATAGTCATTTTATTGTCAGCCTGTCCTGAGATCGCGATACACATTATCATCATGCTAATTAAGTATCGGGCGAGTACTGGAAAAAGTGGTATCGGTGCATCCCTACTAATTAATTTACTTATTACTTACCAGAAAGTGAACCAACTCCAGGGTATGGCTAAAAGCAGACTAATGTTGGTGTACTCGAACTACACATTATATCTTTTTAGTCAAGTAGCATATGGATGTCATGCCATAAAATATTTGTAATATGACTGAATTTGTATTTAACAATTTAATAAAAACAAAATGTAAGTTACTAATGATAATGCTTAGCCTACATTTCCTGTTATTCAAACAGCAGCTACAGAAACGAGCAAAGAACATTTTCAAAGAACATCATATATCCGATTGCATATCGTTTATGTAAAAACGTTTCAGAAAGAACCAACCCATTCGTGAAAGTTAGTAGTGGAGTGTGGGGGTCTACCATGGTCTGGGCGGCGATGAGAGCAGCCAGCATGCTTCTTCCTGGTGGTCCTGGGGCACAGAAAGACACACGTATGTGAGTGCCACCCAAAGCTCTCCCATCCATCAGCCGCTGCACATCCTCAGCCATCTCAGGTGTCGAGAACTCCAGCACTGCAAACCGCCGAAAACTACAATCCTGACCCTGAGCAAGCTATGGAAAAAAAATCAAATAAAAAAAAAAATCAGATTTTTCACAGATAAAATGAGCAGTATTAAGTTAGTCATGGAATACCGACCAGGCCGTTCCATGAGACAATTGACTTAAAAGGATAGTTCATGCTCCCCAAAATAAAAATGGTCAATTTACTCACCCTCATGTTGTTCCAAACATGCATGACTTCAATTTTTCTGTGGAACAAATATTTTGACAAGCATTTATTGTCCATATATTGGAAGTAAATCGGAACCAAAACTGTTTGGTTACCAACATTCTTCAAAATATCTTTTATGTTCCACAGAAGAAAAAGTCAAATAGGTTTAGAATGGCATGAAGGCAAATAAATGACAGTTTACAAATTCAGGGGAACTGACTAGTGGTCGACTGATATTGGTTTTTTGACAGCCGATGCCGATATCTTGGAAAGCAGGGTGGCCGATATAATTGTATTTATTTTCATTCATATTTAAGAAATTTGAAATCATTTGAAAATTGATTAAAAATAAATTTGTAAAATAAACATACTTATACTTTAGATGACAAAGTATTTTCCACAAATAAATAAATATTTAATAAAAATATAATTAAAAAGGAAGTAAACCGTAACCAACAGAGCACTCAGTATTCTGGGAAGTTTGTGTGCATTGGGAATCATATTTTCTCAAATAAAGCCAAAGTAACACTCATTTTACATCCAGCACACAGTGAAAACTACATGAATATGACTGAGCAAATGCATAAAGCACAGCATAATTTGAAATCACGAATTTAATGTTTAAAGCATTCAATTTGCACGGACTGAAAGTCACACAGAGAACACGCGATCATGCAGTTCACATGCACACTTCACAAGATTTCACAACTGGATTCGACTAAGTTTGCAAGGTTTGTGAAATTAAATTGTCATTAGCCATTCAAAGATTTGTTTAAATGATGTAAATGCGTATTTGCTGAATGCTGACGGCAAACGAGAAAGTATTAAGGTTTAAAAAACACTTTTTGTATACATTCTAATTCCTCAAGATTTCACAACTGGATTCGACTAAGTTTGCAAGGTTTGTGAAATTAAATTGTCATTAGCCATTCAAAGATTTGTTTAAATGATGTAAATGCGTATTTGCTGAACGCTGACGGCAAACGAGAAAGTATTAAGGTTTAAAAAACACTTTTTGTATACATTCTAATTCCTTTAACAGTTCTATCGGATTATTAGACAGACTTCTATCCGTAGTAGACAGAACTGTTAACGACGACGGCAAACAAGAGAGAGAACGTGAGCACTGTGTGCTCAGGCGCTGCCGCTGTCAGTGTCGTCAAAATAAAAGTCTGGCGCGCCGTCAAAATAAAAGTCCCGCCTCTAGCGCATCGGCCGAACAGAAAAACTTAACGGCCGATACCGATATTTGAAATGCCAAATATCGGCCTTGGCGATATATTGGTCGACCACTAGAACTGACAATTTAAATGTCACATAAAACAGCTGTGATTAGGCTGCTGATATGAATAGAGATTTTTTTTAAAAATTTCTGAAGCATAAACTTCTAAAAAGGAGGGGAAAGCACCTTTAAGTCACCGTTGACAAATTTTTTTTTTTTTTGCAATTTCACAATAAACAAATATATAAATACACTTTCTATTCCAAATAGGTTAAAACCCCAAAACATTTTCCAATTTAACACACACAAAAAAAAAACCATCTAGTGCAAATGAAATATTCTGCTCAGAAACAATCATATGGCGCATAATGAATGCTACAGGTGGCATTAACCTCAAGTTAATTTAATGGGATAAAAGAAAAGGAGAAAATAAGGAGAGATGGGGGAGGGAAAAAAACAGCACCAAGACAATCACAGTACCTTGCTGAAATGCATCATAACCACTGTGCCAAAACCAAAGCCCAGTATTATGCTAATCTACGCAGAACACATGCATACTTATACAAAGGAAGACAACCTTTCCTGACAGAGCCATTAAGATTAATGCAGCTCCTGAGCTTCTCTGCTTTGGGTGGAATTGAGTTCAACAAGCAAACACAATGAGTCACTAAGGCCTTGATTAGATATTCTTGGAAAAATTCATTAAACATTTGCCCATTATACACATGACTGGAGCCTCATCCACAGGAGGCCAATTCAATACCTGCCTAAAACCTGAGGAAACTGAACTGGGAGCACAACTGATTTAATGAGAATTAACTTCCAAAGCCTGTGCTAATTCCATGGCAATGGGGAACATGATGAAAAGTGTCATTCCCAACAATGCCTTGCAGGCCGCGGTGTACATGATCCACGTTGAAAACACATGAAAAAGGCAGCAGCTCTCTCGTTCCAGAATGACCTGCTGACTGACAGCACCTGGCCCAGTCAGGTGGTGGTCACCATAGAAACCAATGCACTCTGCCATGGAGTACTCAGCACTGCCTCATGGAAAGCAGGTCAAAGGTGAAAGAGCTGAGCATAAAATGGAAGCATAAAAGGAAATTCAGCTTTATAGTTCAATAAATCTGACAAAGGGCTATACATGAAAACCAACAAATGCACAAAGCTAAAGACATGCCACTTTGTCATGTTAACAAGTACTTTGAAAAATCATTGAAATGCAAACATTTAGGAGAAAGTTCAGGCTTTTCCTTTTCATACAATGAAGGTGAACAGGGACAGGGGTCATCAAGTACCAAAAAGGACAAACACGCCTTTTAAGCGCCATAAAGTGAGCTTAATTGACTAAAGACTCATTCTCGCAAAGTGTCGATAACTATAACTACAAAGTTTTAATAATCGTTCTAATTCTGAAAAAAGAAAAGTGCACAACGCAACTATAAAGATTACAACACAGAGGCACAATATTTTTATATGGGCATAATATGGGTAAATGTTTTCCAACAAAAGGAACAATATGGGCAAACGCTTAATTAATTTTTCACTCTCATAACAGTTTATTTTATTCCAGCTGATGAAAACATTGACAGCCAATCAGAATCAACCGAACTTTAAAGAGTTTCAATATTTAATGCAAAATGCAAATGACAAATCATAACATTATAAACAGAATGATAAGATCTGTTAGCGTGGACGCTAATATAGTTATCGTTCTTAGTATGAGCGGGCCTTTATTAAATTGAAGCTAATGAAAATGATGTTGTAAGAGAATTGCAATCTGTTTGGCATGTTTTACTGCACTGTACTGGTGTGTTTTTTAAGCTATACGGCAACTTTGGGTAAAGAACTGACTGAAAAGTCAAGCGGTTTTGGAAAGGCATGAGGGTGCGTGTAATTGATTCTCATTTTTGGTTGAATGATTCCATTAAGGTATTTTTTAACACTGGGGTGGGTGGGGGTGTAGCATTAGAACATTAACATTATTTTCGACGGAACACAGCTGCAACTTTAAGACTCATTATGGCGCTCATCAGCCGGAGTGGATAAATGTCAGTCATCCAGTGGATAAACGTCAGTAGAGCAGCTGAAGTATAACAGCTTTTATCAACAGCACTGCAGTAAGAGTGGAAATTTAGAAGCATGACTGGAGTGAAGTGAGGGGAAACCAGTTGCTACATCAAAAACTGGGGGATTTCTAGCAATTTTTTTTTTGCCATTTTTATTATCTGTCATTCAAATATATGATCACTTAGAAAAGTAATAGTGCACGTCTCCTCAACCAAACCTTTTTTTTTTTTTGCTCCGTTCACGAAATGCTAGCGATAGATCCTACCTTCTGGTTCAGCAGTCATATTAGCTCAATATTTCTGCCAGTTTTTCATTAGCGGTATACACAAGCACCCTAGATTTCATCATCATAATATTGCACAAGGCAGATAATGTTCCACCAGATAATTAGGTAAATAAGCGTTACGGAGCATATGAAGAGACAGCCACAATGGTTGCAAATTAAACTTCAAATTAAAACTCCAGCACTGGAGAAACAATTAAGTTGCATGTCTATTACAAAATCTTGCCATCTGCCTCGGAGTACATACAAATGACATGAAATCAAAATTGACCCCATTTACTTCCTTAATATCAATGTCTTATTGTACACAAGTCACATAAGAAGAAAATTATGCCCCTTGAAAACCAATTTGTTCTGTGGACAAATAGGACCAGGAGAAAAAACAACATCAATAAGTATCAAATTATAATTATCTGGCAAAGAACATCACCTCTACCCTTTATAATTTCCTACTGAAATGAGTTTCACTTGAAATTAAAAATCGCATTAATTAATAAATCACATTTTAATTAGATGGATTGTGAATGTGGTTTCAGGTTATTTTTAGCCATATTTTAAAGCTGGCATGAAACAGAAATTGTGATCGTCTTTTCTTCCCTATTGTGACAAATCTGAAAGAAACTTTTTATTTGACAAAAGTGACCGTGATGAGCGCTGCGTTTTACCCAAAGTTGAACATTCAAGGCTGCACAATTAATCGAATTTCTAATCAAGATTACAATTACGGATGTCACAATTATGTAATCGTTCAAAGCGCCAATTAATCGTTCAAAGTCCACTTAGGTTATTCGGTGTGCTTAAGATGTGTTTTTTTCTTTCTACAAGTTATCTTAAGGGTTTTTCCATTGTTTTAATATGACATTAATACCATGCATATTTTAACTTTTTATTTAAAGAAGAAACCAATCCAATGAATACACTCCCATTGAAAACAATAAAAAAAAAACATTGAGCACTGAGAAAAGTTTTTGCTAGTTTAATTTCCCATTCAGGGAAATGAGATATTGATCTAGGGGCCATTAATAAGGATGCAAAGTCTACAAATGTTTTTTTTTTTTTTTTTTTTTTTTAAGTTGAACTTGTTAGCTTTAAACTGCATTCTAAGAAAAACGGCAATCACGTGCAAGACGCCAAAAAGATGTGAGACGCGAGTGCACTGGGCAAACATGTTTATTTAATAGGGCTGGGACAATAAATCGATGCATCGCGATTCGTGGATCGATTCTGAGATTTTCGGAATGCATCGTGATTCTCTCTCGAATCGATTCTGAGCTTAGTTTTTAACAGCAGATGGCGCTCTAGGCTAGTTTTTAACCGCACACTCAAAAGCAGAGCGCTTGTGCGTTCGGCTGAGTAATGTATACTTGCACATCGGCTTTTATGCCTTTATGATGCAAGATTAATATAAACAGCCCACTGTGAACATCCTTGTAATTCGCTTCAACCTTTTCGAACTTTATGAATGATTACTTCAGGTTCAAATGGTGCGTGTGTAAGGAACTGGAAGCAAGCAGAATACGGCTATTTCTAAAGCACGCAGTGCCATCAGCTGTTAAAAACTAAGCAAAGAATCGATTCAAGAGAATCGCGATGCCTTCGGAAAATCTCAGAATCGATGCAGAATAATTTCTCGATTCGCGATGCATCGATTTATTATCCCAGCCCTACTATTTAATGCATGTTTACACAGAAAAACAACGAAAAAACAGTGAAAAACACATTCTGCATGAACAAACCCTTACTTCTTCCTGTCCAGCTATAGACAGGCTCTAAAAGCTGCCAGGGCCGAGCATATCCACAAACTCATAGAAAATAACCAAAACAATCCAAGGTTTTTATTTAGCACAGTGGCTAGATTAACAAATAACCAGACACCACCCGATCTAAATATTCCCTCACAGTTTAATAGTAATGACTTTATGAATTTCTTCACTGATAAAATAGATAACATCAGAAATACAATAACAAATGTAGATTCTACAGCATATAATACTTTAGCTTTATTCATCGCACCAAAACATAAACTGCAGTGCTTTACAATTATAGGACAGGAAGAGCTAAATAAACTTATCACTGCATCTAAACCAACAACAAGTCTGTTAGATCCTGTACCCACTAAATTACTGAAAAAGTTGTTACCTGTAGCAGAAGAACCGCTTCTCAATATTATTAACTCGTCGTTGTCTTTAGGTCACGTCCCAAAACCATTCAAGCTGGCGCTTATTAAGCCTCTTATTAAGAAACCACAACTAGATCCTAGTGAACTGGCAAATTACAGACCCATCTCAAATCTTCCTTTTATGTCAAAAATTTTAGAAAAAGTTGTGTCTGCACAATTGCGCTCCTTCCTGCAAAAAAAAGATCTCTATGAAGAATTTCAGTCAGGTTTCAGGCCCCACCATAGCACAGAAACTGCACTTGTTAAAATTACAAATGACTTGCTTCTTGCGTCAGACCAAGGCTGTATCTCATTGCTAGTTTTACTTGATCTTAGTGCTGCGTTCGACACTATAGATCATGACATACTCATAGATCGATTACAAAACTATACAGGTATTCAAGGGCAGGCTTTAAGATGGTTTAGATCCTACCTGTCCGATCGCTACCACTTTGTTCATTTAAATGGGGAGTCATCTCAATTATCACCAGTAAAATATGGAGTGCCACAAGGATCTGTCCTAGGTCCTCTGCTATTTTCGATATACATGTTGCCCCTTGGTAATATTATTAGAAAATACGGGATTAGCTTCCACTGTTATGCAGATGATACTCAACTATATATCTCAACAAGACCAGATGAAACTTCTAAATTATCTAAGCTAACAGAATGTGTTAAAAATTATTGACACACTATTTTCCTAATTAATGCTGTTCAGTCACTTTGACACAATCTGTATTGTTAAAAGCGCTATATAAATAAAGGTGACTTGACTTGACTTGACTTCCACACTTGACTCATGTCAGGTGGGTCAAGCCCTCGTACCAACCTGGCAAAATATGGGAGCGTGTGTGTCAATCAGCACACTGCGGAGATCCTGAGCGGTGAGGATGTTTTGAGGTAGTCGGTCCACACAGAGGCAGCGCGAGTGTAGCATGGGAAACGTAAGCGAGCCAACCTCTGTCCAGTGTACGTACAGCATTCGTGACCCAAGCTGCTTCCCCAGCAGCTCTGACTTTGCCCTGGCTGCAGAGTCCTTCTTCATGTACTCCACAAAGCCATAGCCCTTCGAGTGGCCCATGGTGGCACTGTGCACCAGGAAGCAGCGCTCAATGTTTCCGAAGGGCCGGACGAGCTCCTCAAACTGTTGCTGGGTGAAAGCCCTGGGAAGGTTGGCGATGCACAGCAGAGCGTCCGTCGGCTGCAGCTGCACAGAGATCTCACGGTCACGGAGAACATATTGGTGAAATTCCTTAATCGCAAACTGGGCCTGCTCACCATTCAGTAGCGTCACAAAGGCTTGAGTGGGAAAAACAGAAAAAAAATTAGTAACAGCCACCATAAAGGCATAAGGGAAAAAAGAATCTTGCAATATACTAATATTCACTAATTTGTGGTTGGTAAGAAGTCTTTTATGCTCACCAAGGATGCATTTATTTGATCAAAAATATATTAGCATTTTGAAATTGTTACAATTTAAAATATTTATTCTATTGTAATACATTTAAAAAAATGTAAGTTATGCCTGTGATTTCAAAGCTGAAATTTTCAACATCATTATTCTAGTCTTCAGTGCCACGTGATCCTTCAGAAATCAGTTTAATATGCCGATTTGTTGCTCAAGAAACATTACCAATATTGAAAACAGTTGTACTGCTTAATATTTTTTGTGGAAACTGATATATTTTTCAGGATTCTTTTATTTAATAAAAGTTCAAAGGAATAACATTTATTTGAAATCTCTTGAAACATTTTAAATGGCATGCCATTTGATCAATTTGATGCAACCTTGCTGAATAGAAGTATTTAAAAAATAAATCTTACATTTCTAAAAAAAAAAAAAAAAGGCACAAAGCTAAAACCAAAAATAAACAGCATACCTAAGGCTACCTTCACACGAAGCCAGAGCTTTCCCTATCCGATCTTTTCCCCCCCCCTCGTCTCAAGAAATATCTGCGTCCACACGAAACCATAAAACCGACAAAACCATGTAGTATACATGCCAGACCAGTATGTGGCACTGTAATGCTAAAACCAAAAATAAACAGCACAACTAAGGCTACCTTCACACGAAGCCAGAGCTTTCCCTATCCGATCTTTTCCCCCCCCCTCGTCTCAAGAAATATCTGCGTCCACACGAAACCATAAAACCGACAAAACCATGTAGTATACATGCCAGACCAGTATGTGGCACTGTAATTCTGCCACAGAGATACACTAAAAACGGAGAAGAAGACTTTGACTATGCGCATAAACCTTGCGCGCGGTATACAAACGAACATGTAACAATACATTTATTCATCTGTTAATGTTACTTAATAAAAAGATAATCGTTCAGTGTTTGTTCATGTTTTTGTTGCTGTTACGTGACTTTGTCTGACTAGGGGCGAGACGTGGGATGGTGACGTCATCGTTTCAGAAAATATACGGATTCTCTGTCCACACGAAAACGCAAGGGCGGCGTTTTCAGATTTATCCACTCTGGGACCCGGTTTAAAAAAATATCGGTTTCACTCTCCCAAAACGCCGGATCCGTGTGGACAAAACACCTATACGATACAAAATGTATGCGTATACAGCTAAACGCGTCTCCGTGTGGACGGGGCCTAAGACTAAAATAATCAGTAAAAAAAAAAAAAAGAAATTAAATAAATGTTTGCACAAAGGCAGTATGTTGAGTGGTTTAATATGTATGGCTCAGGTTCACACACACAAAGAGGTTGAGGAATATCAACACAGTGTTACTTTGAAAACACTCCAATTATCCGAGTTGCTGATGCTAAATAAAGACTCAATTGGCTCAGGATGATGTAAAACGTTGCCAATATCTCCATTCCAAAAAAAGAAAGAAAAAAAAGTCCATTCATGTGATAATGATGATTCATACACACCTGTCCCTTTGTATTTGTCCACAAAGCAGTACTTCAAATCATAGCTGCTTAACAGCTCGTGCACCTCCTAAAGAAAAACACAACAGGGAAAAAAAAAATCAAACAGGATGATTTTAATTCATTTAATGATTTTACCCTCCATTTTGCATGAACAATGAAGTCATTCAATGGATTCAAAACAGCTTAAACGGCTCAGCTATCATCTCTGTCCTGTCATACTCTCACCTTCTATTCCCACAACTCTCATTTTAAAGTGTCACAAATTAAATGATCTTTCAGTGGTTATGATTGAGTGATTAATAAAATTATTTTGACGGCAACAAGGGAGAAAAAAAACCCCTCCACCTTTGCTTCCAGGCTTCCTACATGTTACCATAACATGAACCAGCACTTTCTTTTAGTGTCAGTGAAAGCAAAACGTTTTGTTTCAGCGCCTTCTGTCCTTTGTCATCCTCACTGCTCCCATTCTAATCTGGAACAATACTAGGGTCGCTCACACACACACCCCAGTTTTCCCCATGAATCAAGCATTTTCCTAAGAGAACCTCATCCACAAACAACAAGAACCACCCGACCCATATGAACATTGCTCATTTCCACAGTATAACAGTTTGAGAACTTAGATGACCACCAGACAATGTGATTTACAAGGGAGCAGCTAGAAACATCTAGCATAAAAAGTTTAAAATATTTCCCATCTTAAGAAATCCAGTTAATCATCTGGTAATATTACTTAGCACTATAACATGGGAATAGCTACGAGTAACAAACTGAATACATACTAAACATTTATTATAAACATTGACCAATTATTAAATGACAAATAAAATAGGCAACTGTTAATAGTGAAGTGTTACCAGTCACAAATGACTAGTGTCTCATAAATAGGTACTAGTATTTAATGAAAAGCACTAGGTAAGCTGACTAGCAACCTATGAATAGTTACTAGTAAAAACAGCACCAGCCTGGACTGGAATGAAATTGTGATCAAAATGAATATTTGAGGTCTTTATCACAGATCCCCTTAGAAACTAGTAAAGAAATTTTTTTACTTTTTTTTTTTTTAACAGCATGCCAGCTTCTTCAGCCATTTTCATGGCGAAAACTATACTTGAGTTGCTGATTTACAATAGAAATTAAGACCAGTTTTCATCATTTTAAAACAAAATTTGGATTAACTTGATTCAAACTTTTCATGAGTATCAACAATAAAAAATAAATTCTAGAAGAAAATACAATCCAATAAAACATTTGACAGACAATGAGCTCTGAAATGATGTACATATGGGAAGGATTTCATTTGCAGTTTGTTACAAGTAGCAATGAAATAGTAACGATAATGATGATTCATACACACCTGTCCCTTTGTATTTGTCCACAAAGCAGTACTTCAAATCATAGCTGCTTAACAGCTCGTGCACCTCCTAAAGAAAAACACAACAGGGAAAAAAAAAATCAAACAGGATGATTTTAATTCATTTAATGATTTTACCCTCCATTTTGCATGAACAATGAAGTCATTCAATGGATTCAAAACAGCTTAAACGGCTCAGCTATCATCTCTGTCCTGTCATACTCTCACCTTCTATTCCCACAACTCTCATTTTAAAGTGTCACAAATTAAATGATCTTTCAGTGGTTATGATTGAGTGATTAATAAAATTATTTTGACGGCAACAAGGGAGAAAAAAAACCCCTCCACCTTTGCTTCCAGGCTTCCTACATGTTACCATAACATGAACCAGCACTTTCTTTTAGTGTCAGTGAAAGCAAAACGTTTTGTTTCAGCGCCTTCTGTCCTTTGTCATCCTCACTGCTCCCATTCTAATCTGGAACAATACTAGGGTCGCTCACACACACACCCCAGTTTTCCCCATGAATCAAGCATTTTCCTAAGAGAACCTCATCCACAAACAACAAGAACCACCCGACCCATATGAACATTGCTCATTTCCACAGTATAACAGTTTGAGAACTTAGATGACCACCAGACAATGTGATTTACAAGGGAGCAGCTAGAAACATCTAGCATAAAAAGTTTAAAATATTGCCCATCTTAAGAAATCCAGTTAATCATCTGGTAATATTACTTAGCACTATAACATGGGAATAGCTACGAGTAACAAACTGAATACATACTAAACATTTATTATAAACATTGACCAATTATTAAATGACAAATAAAATAGGCAACTGTTAATAGTGAAGTGTTACCAGTCACAAATGACTAGTGTCTCATAAATAGGTACTAGTATTTAATGAAAAGCACTAGGTAAGCTGACTAGCAACCTATGAATAGTTACTAGTAAAAACAGCACCAGCCTGGACTGGAATGAAATTGTGATCAAAATGAATATTTGAGGTCTTTATCACAGATCCCCTTAGAAACTAGTAAAGAAATTTTTTTACTTTTTTTTTTTTTAACAGCATGCCAGCTTCTTCAGCCATTTTCATGCCGAAAACTATACTCGAGTTGCTGATTTACAATAGAAATTAAGACCAGTTTTCATCATTTTAAAACAAAATTTGGATTAACTTGATTCAAACTTTTCATGAGTATCAACAATAAAAAAAAAATTATAGAAGAAACAATACAATCCAATAAAACATTTGACAATGAGCTCTGAAATGATGTACATATGGGAAGGATTTCATTTGCAGTTTGTTACAAGTAGCAATGAAATAGTAACTGTTGGGATAGTGACTAGTAACAAAGGGAAAAAAATACTAGTATGTAAACGAGCAGTAGTAATTAATTGAGCATGTACTATTCCTGAATGTAGCAGCTCTAGTAGTATCTAACGAATAAGCATTAGTGAAATTAAATACACCAGTCACTAGTGAATTACTTGCTATTAAATGTGAAAAAAAGCAGAAACAAAAATTAATAGTAATTGGTTTTACAGAATAAGTGCATGCTATACTCTGGTTAACAGGTAGATAAACATTCGTGACAAGCAACTTATTGGAAATGTGCAAAGTTTTCAGATGCAAGCGTCAAACTTTTGGGAGGATTTCGATACTTGCGTCGCCTAACGTAATTAAAAATAGTGAAATTAAGCCACTAGTGAATTACTTGCTATTAGATGTGAAAAAAAGCAGAAACAAAAATTAATAGCAATTGGTTTTACAGAATAAGTGCATGCTATACTCTGGTTAACAGGTAGAAAAACATTCGTGACAAGCAACTTATTGGAAATGTGCAACGTTTTCAGATGCAAGCGTCAAACTTTTGGGAGGATTTCGATACTTGCGTCGCCTAACGTAATTAAAAATAGTGAAATTAAGCAGCGAATATATAACACTAATCTGTAACTTCACCAAGCTGTGATTTGGCACATTTGGCAGGATAAGCATCCGGGGATTCAGCTCGATTAATGAACGGTCAAACGGCCCGCATCCTTTCAATACAACTAACGTTACACAACTCACATCGGACTCAATCCCGTTACCGCGGCTCTTGAATGGCTGCGATGACACGAGGTTCGGTGTGGTCAAAACATTGATCATTCACCTTCAGATTGTCACAGCAGATTCAATTATCTACACCACAACACTGTAAAACCCCAGAGTATTAACTACCGAGTCAGCGATCACTGAAATCTGGAAGTGTGACTCGATCAAGCTGCCCATCTGCGTTTGGGATGCTCGGCCAAAGATCATCAATTGTTTGATTGATGCACAAACCTGATTGCTGATATCGGCTGGGAGGTTCTTGATAATTATTTTTCGCCGATTATAAAACTCTCTTCTCGTTCTTTCCAAACGACTAGCAATCTCTTCTGGACTAAGGGCCGTCAGTTCATCATCGAGCCGTCGCGGACAGTCGCTGCCCGTCGGTGGACCCTCATCGCCGGTGTCCGCATCGACTTGTTTACCCGTTTCAAACCCCCAGTTTTCGAGTTCGGCTGCTTGATCGTAACTTTTATAGAGTGGATTCGCTGCAAAATTGGCACCAGTGAAGGATTTCTCGTCTCTGGCAGCTGAGCTAACGGATACCGCGGTCGCCATGTCTCCGTGTGGTAGTTTGTGTGCTCACACCGCACGTTTGCTTTGGCCAGTTTAAACAATACACACATGCGAGGAACTCGCTCGCTGATTGGTCGAGGGGAAATGCATTTTTCTTTCAGGCTTGAGGGGCGGAGCTAACGAGTTGCGTCTCAAATTTGAACACAAGGCAGGTGGGTTGCCAGATACGATCAAAATATATAGTATTTACATAAGAATAACCTTTTCCTTATTTTTATGCACTCTGTTGTTTCTTATTTTACTGTTTGCACATTTAAAAAAAAGAAAAAGTAAAATACCTGATAACATGTTGTTCAGTGTACAGATTGCCAGATATCACTTTGTCCTAACCATTTAGTTTACAATATAAACATCCTGGCTCTGGGCTGTTGTAGACTGCGGAGTCTCCAGGCCAGGACCAGCAGACTGAAGGACAGCTTCATCCATCAGGCTGTCAGGAAGCTGAACTCCCTCCCAACCTTGCCGCCCCTCCCCTCTTTTGCCCCACGCACCACTGAACTCTGACCCTCTGACGGACTCTC